AGCAAATCTCTAAGTCAGAGTGGTGGCACATGCCCATTGTCTCAAAATAAGTAAAGAAAGAAAGAATCAAGAGACTCGGGAAGAGCTAATATTTACCTTGCACTAGAGTCAGGGGCTGCCTGACTATCTGCTCAACATACCCTGGGCTCCAGGTGTACATTGGATGAGGCCATATGTTTCCCAGACATATCATTAATGTTCCTGGCCTGACACAATTGCCTTCCATGTGGGCCAGGTGAAAGGTTATTACTTCCCTGGGGAAAGGCAGCAAGAGTACAGCCAGCTGTTGGCAGGCTGTGTCCTAGAGGCCCACAGAAGACTGGCCAGGAACCTGCACAACTGAGTGATGGAGTTCATGTGTGGCTGGTCCACCAGGGACCTAGCAGTGACCTCATTTCCTTACCTGCCTTCTCTCACCATTCCCTTCCCCCATCTACCCCAAGCTTGGCCTATGTTTTGAGTGACACACTCTAGGGTACTTGGTGTATATTAGTAAGCTAATTTTATCAAAAGGCTTGGCAGCAGCACTAGAAATTTCTGCAACCTGAATTCCAGCATCCTATTGATGTGAGCACTGCCTGGGGGGGGGGGGAGAGGAAGGGAGGGGCACTAGCAGAATGAGTTGATGGCCAGCAGAGAGCAGGCCCAAGCCTTGTTTTATGTGAAGAGAGTATCTTGCTAAGTTGTCCTGATAGGCCTTGAACTTGCAATTCTCCTGCTTCCGCCACCCTCAGTTTAAAATTACAGACAAGGACCACGGCAACCTAGGTCCTCAACCCTCTCTTACTTAAAAAACAAAACAAAGTTTGAGTTACATTTTAAACTGTATTTGGGAGGGGCCAGCAGTGCATAGGTGTCATGGCATAGTTATGGAGGTCAGAACAGAACCCGGGAGTCCTTCTCTCATTTCACTATAAGGGTCTCATGGGTCAAATTCGAGTCATCGAATCTGGCAACAGTCACCTCGAGCCTTCTCACCCTTTTCCTCTTTATTGAGACAGAATCTCACTAAATGGCCCAGGTTGGCTATGAGCTTGTAATTCTCTTGCCTTAATCTCTTAAAAAGCTCAAATTACAGGCCTGAGCCACCAGCCCAGAATATTTTGATGTGCACTTTTTATGGCTGATCTGGTCCTAGGCAATATACAGTTTCAAAATCTACCTGCTGGAGTTATTGAGTCACATTGTCCTTTTCTCGTGTTCCTTGTATATTTGCTAGTTCACAATTCCTAGGCTCACTTCAACCAACTGTGAATTGAATATACCTCAAAACACAAATGTAACAAATCAAAACTTAAAAAAAAAAAGTGTCTGTTCTACACAGACACAGACATTTTTTCCTTGTCATTATTCCTTAAGCAATGTGGTCCCACTAGCCATTTACATAGCATTCATATTGCAGTGGCTCTCATAAGAAATCTAAGAGTGGTACCTTTGAATCTAAGAGTTATGGTGACAACAAGTAGCTGTCAGAAGGATATCAAATTGAAGATCTACCTGGGCTGCACAGTGAGTTTCAGTTTCAGACTGAACAACTTGGTGAAACCCTGTCTCAAAATAAAAATAAGTTACGGGTGTAGCTCAATTGTAGAGGGAAAACATATTTGGCATAGGCAAGGCCATAGGGTCAAGCCAGTACTGCAAAAGAAGAAAAACAAGTATATTGAAAGGTGCATGTAGGTCATATGCAAATACTACCCTGTTTTTTGTAAGAGACTTGGGTATCCTGGGATTTTGGTATCTTGCAGGAGGTTGGGTCTGGAACCCATCCCTCAAAGACACCACAGGAGTGTTTTACTTTAGAGGACAGTGTAGACAATGGGCCTTACAATACTGAAAGTGCTTTACTTGGGCCAAATGAGGCAGTACACATCTGTGATCCTAGTACTCAGGAGACTGAGACAGGAGGATAAAGACCACATCTCACAAAATAAAATAACCCATATATTTCTTACTGCAATCTTGGAATCCTTATACTGTTCTTTTTTTTTTTTTTTTTTTTTTTTTTTTTTTTGTTTGGTTGGTTGGTTGGTTGGTTTTGGTTTTGGTTTTCCAGACAGGGTTTCTCTGTGGCTTTGGAGGCTGTCCTGGAACTACCTCTTATAGACCAAGCTGGTCTTGAACTCACAGAGATCCGCCTGCCTCTGCTTTCTGAGTGCTGGAACTAAAGGTGTGTGCCACCAACACCCGGCCTTATTTTTTATCAAGATTTATTTATTCTTATTTTATGTGCATTGGGTTTTTGCCTGCATGTATGTGTGTGTGAGAGGATGCCAGATCCCCTGTTACAGACAGTTGTAAACTCCATGTGGGTGCTGGGAATTGAACCACAGTACTCTGGAAGAGCAGTCAGTGCTCCTAACCACTGGGCGTCTCTCCAGCCCCTTAGCACTATTTTTATATGGATTTTGCAGACAGAGGATAAGTGGTTCAGAGAATCTGGTGATTTGCCCAAGATCACACAGTGATAGAGCTAAGGTTCAAACCTGGGCAGCCTAGCTAGGATTCACCACAGTAAGCTGGCTGATGTTACAGAAGCTTATGAAACATTATTCCCAACCCTGGAGCAAGTGCTTTCTGTCACTGTCCTGTCTCCTTTCTCTGTTCTTTTCCGGTAGTGTGGGAGTAAGGATGTTGTCAACAAGGCCTTAAGAGACTCAACCTGTCAACAAGTTTTTGTGTATTTTGGATGGTCTCTCAGATCCAATTTCTCAGTCAAAGGACATAGGCAATTTTCAGGTTCTTGCTCCATGTTGTCTCACTTGAGGAAACATTGTGTCATTTGCATGCTTGCTCTTAGATGAGATAACTTCTTAGCCAATAGCATGGGTGTGGTAGAGAGGAGTGAGCTTCCACAGCTTCTGAGACCCCAAATTATTATATACAAGTCACATCAGCACATAGGACTTTCTAGAAAATTGCCTGTGAGGGTGGGCATGATTCCCAGGCCCCTGTGCCATCTGAGGATTGTGATGGGAGGAGTTGGGAGATTGTCTCTGGAGATGGTGCCTTGTTACAAATCCTCACCCCACTCCTTCCCTGCAAGCCCATGGGAGTCATTCAAGTGTGTGTGTGTGTGTGTGTGTGTGTGTGTGTGTGTGTGTGTGTGTGTGATGTGTAAATGCATGTGCATGTATCCATGAGTATGTGTGAGCCTGGGCCATGGTGCACATTTGAGGTCAGAAAAAAACCTCAGGAGTCTGTCCCCACCTCATACCTTGCTTGAGAGGGGGCTTTTTGTGCTGGCTTTTCCTGCTGCATACACCTTCTGGGCTGGCCTTCTGGGCTGGCCAGTGGGTTTCCCAGATTCTCCTGTTTCTGCCTCACATCTCACTCTAGTAGCACTGGGATTGTAGAGGCATGCTGCCACACCCATCTTCACATGGATTCTGGCCCTCGCACTTGTGTAGCAAGTACTCTACCTACTGAATCATCTCCCTCTCTCTCTCCCAGAATCATTCCCCCCTCTCTCTATCTATCTCTTTTGGTTTTTCAAGACAGGATTTCTCTGTGTAGCCTTGGCTGTCATGGAACTCCTAGAACCCATTCTGCAGACCAGACTGGCCTTGGCCTTGAACTCACAGAGATCTACCTGCCTCTGTCTCTGCCTCTACCTCTGCCTCCCAAGGGCTGGTATTGAAGGTGTGTGCCAACTCCCAACTTGGGAATCATTCTTAAAGAAACAGAACAGAACAATATTGCCCACCAAGGAGGGGCTTGTCCAGCTCAAAGCCTGATACCAGCCAATAGGATACTATAGCCTAATATTGTGATGGTTAGCTGACTATTACCAAATGGGTAATATCCAACATACCAGATGGTTCCCATGTTGGCCCTATAGGCTATAGTCACCGTGAGCTTGTCTCAAGACTTCTTTGGAGCGTGGAGCCTAACCAATGATGACTGGGCAGTGTACTCCATAATACTGAGGATGGAGGAAAAGCCACAAGGGTGGGAAATATGGGTAAAGATCCCAAGTAAAGAACATTTCTGAGAAGTCACTAAATGGGCTTTGGAAGAAATAGTGCTCTTCATCAGGGGGTGCACACCTTTAATCCTAGCATTTGGGAGGCAGAGGCAGGCAGATCTCTGTGAGTTCAAGGCCAGTCTGGTCTATAGAGGGAGTTCCAGGACAGCCAGGGATACACAAAGAAACCCTGTCTCAAACACACACACACACACACACACACACACACACACACACACACACACACACACACACAGTGTTCTTCGATAACTTTCCAGACCTACAGACCTGGAAACCATGGGTCAATAAGAAAGGCATGTCCCTTACCTTCTGCCCTCCCAGAACAGAAACCCCTAGATACCCAGTTCCCAAAGGTAGGCCAGGACTCCAGGACTCCCCCAACCTGGCCTGTCAGGGAAGATGGAACCTTCTCTTTCCATCCAGCCCTGCACTTGCTCCTACAGCTCCAAACACCAAACCAGATCTCCCTTTCCTAGTTGGTTCCACAAGGTTAGGTCTTTCCCTGGGAACCCTTCAGTTCAGTCACTACCCTGGTCTCACTGAGCGACCCTTCTCATGGGTGCCTTTAGGTCTAGGCTCCAGCTAGAACTTGAGACTGAGGATCCTCACCACACTGACTGCCTGTCCCTGTCACAGTCTGACACGATGAAGATCCTGCCTGGAAAACCTGGGCCGAGCAGCATATACCAGAGTCTGTACACAGCACAGGTGATCAGGGAGGCCAAGGGCTCTTAAATCCACTGGGAGAGCATCTAGAGGCTGAAGGACCCATTGACCCCAGCGTACTGCTCCAGTCTTGGCTACCTACTCCATTCATGAAGCTGGACTAGAGCTAGCCAAACTTAAAGCCATTGCTAAATGGGCAGGGATTGCAGGCAAGCCCGTTTAGATGAAGAGCCAAAGCCACATAGTGTGACCTGTCACCTCAAGGAGGAGGGACAAAGCTCCACAGCTGATGAGAAGCTGGTCATAACTCCTCCAGCCCCAGCCCCCGGTGATGAGAATCAAGAAGATAAAAGCAGAACCTTCAGGTGCTTGCACACTGCAGTCACAGCTCCCTTCTGACCCCTAAGTGCTGACGTCACTGAAGCCCATGGCAGAAGCTGGCTGGACCATGAAGTGGATTCTGGGCTTGAGCCTCACCCTGTGCCTGGAAGTCCAGATGGTCTTAGGTAAGACCTTCATCCCTCTGGGGCTGACAGTCCCAGCTCAGCCTCTTCTGGACAGTGGGGCTTAGACAAGGTCTAGGCAGATGGAGGACAATGTTTCAGAGCACTCATGTACTACTAGCTAGAAGTCTGAGTAGGTCATTTGTCCTCTCTGAGCCCTACAACTGCTCTGCAAAGTGGGGACTGTGTCTCCTACCTCCTGGGATCAGTGAGGAACCTACCTGAGAACATGGCATGTCCATGTCCCTCCTTCTGGCCTTTCCCACTCCTTCCTGCCTTCTTTCTTATAAGCAGGGGTCCCACTTCTGCCTCCCCTGTCCTACATGGCCTCTTTACTATCTGTACCTTTCTCCTCAATGTCCTATCTCTAAAATGAGTGTTATCCTCTGAACTGTGAAAACAAGGTAACACATTAACAACCATTTATTGGGGTATTAGATATACAAACAGCAAAATGCACATATCCAAACTACATGATTATTATATATTATGTATAGTTATATGATGTAACCACCATCCTAGTCAAAATCTAGAATATCGCTAGTATCCTATGTGCCATTTCCTGTTCTGACCTCAATTGGTAATTGATTTTGCCTAAATAATTACATGAGGGTTTTTTTGGTTGGCAGTGGGTTTTGGGTGGGGAGAAGCTTTGGTAAAACTGCTTTCAGCATTTTGTGATATTATCTCTTCTTGTATATTTACACATAGCTGTGATATTATCACGTATACAATGTTAAGATAGTTTGAAGTGTGTGTGTGTGTGTGTGTGTGTGTGTGTGTAAAATTGCAGGTTGAGTGGGTGTAAATTATGACCTTCTGCCTTGTTTGACACAGGGTCTCTTTGTTGTTTCCTGTCCCCAGCTTGGTATGCCAGTCTAGCTGACCCAAGAGATTCCAGCAACTCTCCAGTTCCCACTTCCCATCTCCCTGTAAGAGCAGTGAATTAGGCACCTATGCTATGCATTCAACTTGTATGTGGGTTCTAAGGAATAAAACTCTGGTCTGGCCTTGCTCTCTTGTACCATCTCCCAGCCTTGAACTTGTGATCCTCCTGCCTCTGCCTCCAAAGTGCCTGATTATAGGTGTGCCACCCCGCCTGGTTTGGAATATTGTTTTCTGTCCTCCCTCTGGATAACAGAGCTGACGTTGGACTTCCCATGTTGCTCCTGTTCAGCAGTCTAGAGGAACTCTGCCACATGGTTGTGACTGACTCCCCAGACACAGGGGAGTTAAAAAACACCATGGTTTACAGCAGTCATGAGACACTCTCTATGTGTTGTGAGACAAGTTATATAAACCTTTGAGTTTATTCCCATGTGTCTATAGGAAGATTTTGGGAGCCAGAGTGATGGTACACATCTATAATTCCAGATCTTAGGAGGCTGAGGCCAGAGAGTCATGAGGGCTGTTTGTATGTGCATGTATGTTTGTGGTATGTGTGAACACATGAATACAGACATGCTCATGCAAACAGAAGCCAGAGGATGACACTGGGTGTCCTGTCCTGTTCTATTAAATTTTTTGCTTTTTTCCTTTGAAATGAGATCTCTCACTGAACATGGAATGTGTCATTTTTTTTTCTGAAAAGCTAGCTGGCCAGCAAAACCCAGCAAGGATTATGAGTTCAAGGTCAGCTTGGGCTAAATAAATGACAAGACTTTGTCTCAGAAACAAAAATAAAAGCTAAAATCTGCCAGGTGGCAGCGGTGGCACACACCTTTAGTTCCTAGCTCTTGGAAGACAGAGGCAGAGAGATCTGTGTAAATTTGAGGCCAGCCTTGTCCACAAAGTGAGTTTTAAAACAGGCTCCAAAGCTACACAGAGAAACTCTATCTCAAAAAAAAAACAAACAAACAAGCCAGGCAGGCAGTGGTGGTACTTGCCTTTAATCCCAACTCTTGGGAGGCAGAGGCAAAGGGATCTATGTGAGTTGAGAGTTGATGCCAGCCTAGCCTACATAGCGAGTTTCAGGGAGTTACACAGAGAAACCCTGTCTCAAAAAAAAAAAAAAAACTAGCAAAAACCAGGCATGGTGGTCTATACCTTGAATCCTGTACTTGTGAGGCAGAAGGCCTAGGAATTTGGTTTAGACTGGATATTTTTAAAACACGATTATCATGTAGCCCAAACTGGTCTTGAACTCATGTAGCCAAGGATGATCTTCAACTCATGATCTCCCTGCCTCAGTCTCCCAAGCACAAAGATTTCTGATGTGTGGTACCTTGCCTGGCTTCAGAATCTATTTTCTTTCTTTTTTGCAGGGTAGCAGGGAGCATCAGTTTCTAATTGATGCTGATCCATGGCTAGGATACGTAACAATTTGAATGGCATTTGCTTTCTGTCACTTTACTGAATCAACTCCAAGGAACAAGAACAAAGAGCAATTCTGTTTTGATAAGGGAGGAGAGGGAGAAAATGAGAGAGCACTTAGAAAGGAACAAAGGATGTGAGGCCTCACTTGGCACTTGACAGTAGAAGTGGGGCAGGATAAGAGCCGAGCAGAGGAGGGGTACTCATAGGTAAAGGCTGCATTCAACCTGGTCTCTTTCATATCTATTCCAAAAGCTATCTGTGGTGTGATTATGCTTGCTGTGTGTGTGTGTGTGTGTGTGTGTGTGTGTGTGTGTGTGTGTGTGAATAAGTGAGTACACATATAGCTGAATTTGTATGCATGTGTAAGCCACTGTAAGCATGCATTTGTGTGTTTCTCATGCACACTTCTATATGTATAAATTTGCAAGGGAGCATTGATGCAAATGTGTATGAGTAAGAATGTGTATAGATAATTCCAACCATCTCAGAAATGAACAGGGGTTGGAGAAGTGATTCAGTCAGTGAATCAATTTTCTTCTGCAAAAGTGTGAGAACCTGAGTTTGGATGCTAAAACCTATATGAAAAACCATGGGGTGTAAGATTGTAACCACAGTGCTGAAGAAGAAAAAACAGGTGGGTCCCTGGGACTTACTGGGCACCTAGTCTAGCCAGGAAAGAAAAGGTATCGCCATATTCATATCAAACAGAAATTAAAATAAATGCCCCTTTCAGCCCTGCATGGTGGCTCTCAGCTTTAATCCCAGCATTTGGGAGGCAGAGACAAGCAAGTGGATCTATGTGAGTTTGAGGCCAGCCTGAACTACATAAAGAGTTCCAGGACATCCAGGACTACGTAACAGAGAGAACTTTTCTTCTTCCTTTCTTTGTTTTTTTTTTTTTGTTTATTTGTTTGTTTGTTTATTTGTTTTTTCAAGACAGGGTTTCTAGCTTTGGAGGCTGTCCTGGAATTTGCTCTGTAGGCCAGGCTGGCCTGGAACTCACAGAGATCTGCCTGCCTTTGCCTCCCAAGTGCTGGGATTAAAGGCCACCACAGGGCCAAAACCTTGTTTTAACTAAATAAATAAGTAAATAAATAAATAAATAAATAAATGTCCCTTTCATTGATATTAAATGAAACAAAGAGAAATGGGTTATATAATAGACGTGAACTTTTATATATTTACCAACATGTCTTTGGAATCTTAAATAATGAAGAAAATCCTCATAGATGAACAAGAGAAATAAGACAGATGCACAATTGTTTTTAAATTTCCAAAGGTTTTTAATTGTTGTTTTAAGATACAGCACTAGTCTGAGGAGATGGCTTAGTGGATAAAACTTGCTGCATTAAGATCCCCAGAACCCAATTAAAACGCTGGGTGGCCTGGGCATTGGTGGTACACGCCTTTAGTCCCAGCACTTGGGAGGCAGAGGCAGGCAGATCTCTGTGAGTTCAAGGCCAGCCTGGTCTATAGAGCGAGTTCCAGGACAGGCTCCAAAGTCACATAGAAACCCTGTCTCAAAAAACAAAACAAAAACTACCCAGTAGTTTGGTTATCCTGCCTGCAATCCCAACCTAATTCCTGGAGCAAGATATCTAACCAGACTACCAAAACAAGCTCTGGCCTTGGTGACAGACACTGCCTGGTTAGAGATGGTAGAAAACAATCAACTAAGATACCTCACTTACACACTTACACTTACACACTTACACACATGCATGCACTTACACACATGAACACACACGTTCACTAAAAAGTAATGGTTGGGGCTGGAAAGATGGCTCAACAGTTAAGAGCACTGGCTGGTTTTCCAAAGGACCTAGGTTCAATTTCCAGCACCCACATGGTGGCTCACAACTGTCTGTAACTCCAGCTCCAAGGTATCCAACAGCTTCATGCAGACATGAATACAGACAAAACACCAATGCACATAAAATAAAATTAAATAAAGTCCTTTTTTTAAAGTAGTGATTGACAGCTGGGGAGATGGCTCAGCAGTTAGGTTCTCTGGCTGTTCTTCCAAAGAAGCCAGATTTAATTCCCAGCACCCACATGACAGTTCACAGATGTCTGCAACTCCAGTTTTAGAGAAATGGATGCCATGTTCTGCATGTGGTACAAAGATGTACATTCACACAAAACACTCACAAACATAGGCTTTTTAATATTTAAATAATAGTAATTTGTTGGTTGATTTTATTTACATATATAAATAGCGTTTGTGTGTGTGGGTGGGTGTGTGTACATATATAGCAGCAGCAGATCTGGTAGCAACTCCCATAATCCCAGCATTTGGGAGCTGAGGCAGAGGGTGATGGGTTCAAAGCCAACTTGAATTACGTAGTGAGATTCTGCAGAGAGGTGAAGAAAGACAGAAGGGAGGGCAAGGCAAAGTCGAACAGATCCCATGGCAGATGTACCAGAGTCCCATCTGTGGCTGACAATAATGAGACAGGATGACAGTCCCTCTTCTCTTCCCAGGGGCTTTGCACACCAACGAACCTCTTGTGGTCACCAAACATGGGATCCTACAAGGAAAGCAAACACACGTGGGAAACATAACCATCCAAGTCTTCCTCGGAGTCCCCTTCTCCAAACCTCCGGTGGGTGCCCGCAGGTTTGCTCCTCCGGAGCCCCCGCAACCCTGGAATGGCATCAGAGATGCCACCACCTACCCACCTTCGTAAGTGCTAGAGGATTGTGGGCTGGTAGATTAACAGACCTGAAGAGTAGGGTGAACCAGTGCCTAAAATAACTCACTAGAAACACCCTGCATGACCACAGCAAACCTGAGGCTCATTCTTGGCCTCATTTTCCAAATTTATGTGATAAAATTAAACCAAATGGCATTTAAGGCACTGATTTGCTGAGTTTTCCCCAGAGAGAGCTCTGAACAAGAGGAATGTGGTCACTGGCTATGCCACAGGACCTTCTAGGAAGCTGAATTTCCCAAATGCCTCCCACCTCCAGTTCTCATCCACACCCTACGCCTATGAGTGATGGGCTACCACTTTGTAACAAGCCCACAAGGTACTGTCAGACACTCCCTGAAGAGGGTGCCTCAACAGGTGAACTACAATTTCAGCTTTACCAAGTTCCAGTGTCTTGCTGCCACCTACAGCCTTCATGTAACAAGACTTAAACAAGCCCTGGGCTTGGCAGTTTAGTCAAAACAAGTGCACTTACTGTTTATTCAGACTACTGAATAATCAACTGAGCATAACACTGTGTGACAATCATTAACAGTGTTTATTGTCAGCTGGTTTAAGTACAGGGTTTTAAAACCTGGGTGCAAAATGATATTTTGGGGGGAAAAAAGGGGGCTCTATCACTCACACTTGAACGTCTATTTGTTAAGAAGAGTTCCACTGTTAGGACATGATCAACCACAGCCCAAAGGTTGTGCTCCATGCCAACAACCACGGGAGAGGTACAGGTTCAATTTCAATAGATAGATAGATAGATAGATAGATAGATAGATAGATAGATAGATAGATAGATCAAGCCCCATTCTGATCATTCTATGGTTATTATTTGGAATCCCTGTTGTCAGAGCATGGAATGACCATTATCTGAAACTTGAAGGTGAGGTTTGGAGGTGAGGGTGACCATTGTATACACATGTGGGTGTCAGTCATTGGAACTAGATATAAGCTGTCAGAACAAGAGATGTTTAGAGGTCGGGCAGTAGTGATGGATGCCTTTAATCACAGCACTGAGGAGGCATAGGCAGGCAGATCTCTGAGTTCAAGACCAGCCTGATCTACAGAGTGAGTTCCAGAATGGCCAAGGCTGTTAAACAGAAAAACCCTGTCTCAGAGAGGGAGAGAAGTTTAGAACTTATTTAGGCCATTCTATAGGGCAACAATTAAGGGAGAGAGAAATGGTGGCTTCCCCATAGAAGTGATTGGATTCTAAATTTATGTCAAAGAAAAAGATGATAGTATTTTCTGGAGAACTGGATATGAGACACGTGAGGAAAGAATAATAAGAAGAAGAAGAAGAAGAAAAAGGAGGAGGAGGAGGAGAAGGTAATATAATGACTACATTTTGGTCGAGAGGATAAAGGTGCCATGTCCCAAAATAATGAACACTAAGGTAACATCAGGTTTGGGCAAAATAAGGGAAAATTCATTAGACTGCCAAGCATGATAGTACACGTCGATAATCCCAGTAACTGGAAGGCTGAGCAGGAAGATCAGGAGTTCAAAGCCAGCAAGTTTGAGGGTACCCTAGGCTATTTAAGACTATGTCTCAAAGAAAAGAGAGGAGAGCCAGGTGTGAGGGCTCACCTTTAATCTCAGCCTTGGGAAGCAGAAGTCAGTCAGATCTATGAGTTTGGGGCTAGCCTAGTCTACATACTGACTTCCAGACAAGCTAAGGCTACATAGTGAGACCTTGTGTCAAAAATAAATAAATGACAACAGTAATAATAAAGTTTGGGGGCTGGAGAAATTACTTAGGGGTTAAAAGCAATGGCTGCTCTTCCAAAGGACCCACAGGGAGGCTGGCAGTCTGTCTGAAACTACGGTTCCAGGGGGATCCATTGCCCTTTGCTGGTCTCTGCAGAAATATAAAATAATATAAAAATAAACAAAATTCCCAAAAAATGTTTAAAGAAAAAGGAGAACCTGTGCTTCATAGCAACTTCTAGGCTAGTCTGGGCTATAAAGGGAGACATGGTCTCAGAAAGGCAAAAAGAAAACAGAGCTAAGAAAGAGAGAAATTTGGGCTCTTTTATGCTTAAAACTGGGTCAGCAGGAGGATCCATCAGGGAGAGAGGGGGAAAAGTCAGAGAGCAGGATGATATAGAAACCTGGAGAGGGAATACTGCTAAAGAAAGGTTGGAGCAATTGGTCATCCACATTGAGAGTCACTCCAGTGGCCATGACAGGAGTGACTTTGATGATGTGATGGGGACAGAAATCTCAACTGTTCTTAAGTCCAGTTCTTGACTATATCTGCTAGCAAGAAGTCAAGCAAGGAGGGGCTGGAGAAATGGTTCAGCAGTTAAGAGCACATGCTGCTCTTGGCAGAAGACCAGGGTTCCATTCTCTACACAGTGGCTTACGACCATCTTTGTTACAAGCACTTTCCAGCCTGCCTGGTCCCACAGCTGTGTCAGTTCCAAAATAACACACAGAGACTCTATTAGTGATAAAGCTGTTGGCCAATTGCTAAAGCTTCTTATTGGCTAGCTCTGTCTTAAATAGTAACTCATTTCTATCACTCTAAGTGTTTCCAAGTGGTCTTATCTTACCAGAGAAAGGGCCCAGACCTCTTCTCTCACATCCTATATCTTGACTCCTCCCTACTACATCTCCCAGAATCCTCTTTGTCTTCTTCCTATTTGCCAACAGTGCTTTATTCATTAACCAATAAAAGAAACATATTTACAGACTGCCATCTCCCATCACATCCTTAGCTCCAGTTCCAATGAATCAAACACCCTCTTCTGGCCTCCACAGTCTCCAGGCACAAACTTGATGCACTTCTATAGAAGCAAAACACTCCCACACATAAAATAAAAATATATCTTTTTCTTTAACTCAAACATGGGACTGTCATAACTCAGCCAGTAAAAACATTGCTTTTCAGAATGAGGACCTGAGTTTGATCCCCATCAACCACGAAAGAGCATGGTGGTGTCTGCTTGTAATCCTAGCACTGGAGAGTTAGAGACAAGAGGATTCCTGCAGTTCACTGACTAGCTAATCCGTCCTAATTGATGAATACTAGGCAATGAGAGACCCCCGTTTCAAAGTAGGCAGATGGTACTTCTGAGGATGACATCAAAGGTTAACCTCTGGCATCCAAATGCATATTCACAAATATGCACATCCACTTGTATATACAAACTGCATGCATATAAACATGCACACACACACACACACACACACACACACACACACACACACACCTTTTTCTTTTTTCAAAAGCAAAGAGGGCCAGTGATATGGCTCAGCAAATAAAGGTTCTTGCTACCAAGCTTGATGACCTGAGTTCCATCCCTAGGACCTACAGGGCAGAAGGAAAGAAATGACTCACAAAAGGGTGCTCTGACCTCCACATATGCACCATGACACAAACAAATAGATAAATGTAATTTTAAAATTAGAAAAAAGAGAAAAAGAAGTCAAACAGAACTATTGCCTGGAGGCAGAGGCCCTGCCTACCATTCCCAAGGACCTGTATTTGATCTTGGCACTACAAATTTTCAGAGGAGGAAGTAAAGCAAAGATCAAAGACAGAGCTACAAAGCCAGGAATAGTGGTACAAGCCTGTAATCCCCGCACTTGGGAGGTGGAGGTAGTAGGGTCAAGAGTTCAAGATCAACCTCAACTACATGGTAAGTTCAAGGCCATCCTGGGTTACATGAGACCCTTGTCTAGAAAGATGAAAGCAAGCAAGAAAAGGAGGAAGGAAGATATACTGCTTGCTGGTGACCTTTGAAGAGGCCAGGTGATGTAGGAGTACAATTAGCTGAAGTTTATCCTAAGGCTGAGGAAATACACTTAATGAGGTAAAAACACTTGCCTTACAAGTATGAGGTCTTGAGTTCAAGCCCCAGAACCCACATAAAAAGCCAAGAGTCATGTCAAGAATTTGTAATGCCAGTATTGGGAAGACAGAGACAATAAGATCCCTCTGTCTCACTAGACAGCCAGTCTCAACTACTCAGCAAGATCCAAGTCACTGAGAGACCAGTTTAAAACAAAACAAACAAAAATAAAAATGCATGGCCTCTATGAGGAATGACACCAGAGGTTTTTCTCTGGCCTTCACATGCATGCATTGACCTGTACACACAAACACAAAAGAAAATGAAAGTGTGTGCTTGCAGGAAGAGAGTTCAGATGGCTGCTGGTAAAGGTGATTGGGAGATGATAGTTGGGATGAGACAGGTTGAAAAGTTGTGGGAAGGACATATGAAAAAGGGAAATGGAAGAGCTAAAAGGAGGAACAGGCAAGCAGGATTCCAACCAAGTAAGGCCAGCCCCAGACTTGTAAGAATAGCCATTCCTGACACTAGGCCAGCAGCAGACAGGAGGGAGGTGGCCATATAACCTATACTTTTCTCTTTTTAATTATATATGTGTGTGTATTATTTTACATATCGATCCCAGTTCCCTCTCTCTCCTTTCTTCCCTCCCTCTTACCCTCTCTGGCCTCTCATATGCACCCTGACCACTCTCCCCTCCCATCCCCCCACCCCAATTTCACATGTAGGGCAATGCCATCCAGGTGGGGTCATGTAAATCTGTCAAGTCATTTCAAGTAGGGACTAGGACTTCTCTCCTGTCTCTAGATAACCTATATTTTTCAAATACTCTGTAAGTCTACAGAGTGCCTGGCTGAGTGCTAGGACACACTGTCTTTCTGCATTCAAGGAATTGTTGAGTCACCCAGGAGAAAAACAATTAATTGAAACAATTTCAACCAGCACTACGGTCAAGAGTGGAGAAAGGTTTGCAGGACACAGATGGAGTGCCCATAAGAGGGGTACCACTTTAGTTGGCCTTAAACAGAAGTAGGAGCTTGCTGGGCAAGAAAGCATTTGGCAGAAGTTATAGAGGCACAAGGGCTTGAAAATCAGAGACAAGTCACCTTGTCTATCAGGAACAAAGGGTGGCTGGTGAGGTGGCTGGATGGAAAGGAAGGTCTAAGTCAGACTAAAAGTGTCTGAGTCAGACTAAAGGTGTCTGGACGTTCTCTCTGAAGGCAGTAGAGAGCCAAAGAAATAGGTTTGGAGAGGTGGGTCCTTCCACAGTAGCTAAGGCTATTCTGAGACCCATTGTGTATCCATCAGCCACTATGCCTCACAAGGAAGATTTTAAGAAGGGCAGCCATGGTCTGCATTATGTCTTGCTTTGTTTTTAATCACTTTTATCAATGTCCTCAAGTTGGAGAGCCTTGAAGAGGCTGGGGCTGTGTGTATTCAGACCTCAGATATGATGGTCTTGACAGGACAGTGGCCCTGTGTTTGGAGTGGGGAAACATGTTCTAGAGAGCCCCTTGGCCTGCTTGGGAGATAAGAGTCTGGGAAGGTGGGACATGAAAGCAGAGAGGTGCGTCGGGCACCCAAGTTTTTGTATTGATCTCACCAGTCATCTCCAACAAGAGCAAAGACTACTCAGGCTAAGGGGTGAAGGGTAAGACACATGGTAGAAGAAAAGATGGAACCTAGGGAGAACTGCCTGCCTCGTGTTCATGGACCTGACCCCTGGTGACAGACTCCAAGAGGCATGCACACAGAGCCTGCCAGGCTTTTGTCTTAGGTTGTCCTCCATCACTACTGACCCCGGGGTTTAAATCATTCTCTTCACTGCCAATCCATATTCACTGCATGTCCACAGGTGCCTGCAGGAAACCTGGGGGCAGGTAACTTCCATGTACTTAAGCACGCGGAAACAGTATAAGTGGCTGCACTTCAGTGAGGACTGTCTCTACCTGAATGTTTATGCTCCAGTGCTCGCGCCTGGGGACCCTCTGCTGCCAGTAAGTACTATGTTTTCCATCACCTGCCATCCCCTCCTACTACCCTACAGCTAAGCTCAAACTCTGGGGACCTTTCTTGCGCAGGTAATGGTTTGGTTCCCTGGAGGCGCCTTCCTCGTCGGCTCCGCTTCCACCTACGAAGGCTCAGAGTTGGCTGCCCGCGAGAAAGTGGTGCTGGTGTTTTTGCAGTACAGGCTGGGCATCCTGGGCTTCCTCAGGTGGGCCTTGGATCAGGGGCGGGGCCTTCACCTACCTGCAGAGGCACAGAAGGCGGGTACTGGTGGAAGGGGACGTGGTCCATGGGCGGGACCTAGTGAAGGGGGTGGTTTGAGCTGTGGAGACCCTAGATACTGTCTCACCAGTGAATCTAAGGAAGCCTTAGGTGGGGAGCCTCGGCAGCTCTCAGAATCCTGACCATCGAAGTTTGAAACACTGACCATGACTCTCATGTGCCTAGCACGGGCGACAGCCAAGCCCGCGGGAACTGGGGGCTGCTGGACCAGATAGCGGCTTTGCACTGGGTTCAGGAGAACATAGAGGCCTTTGGAGGAAACCCGGACAGTGTAACACTATTTGGCCAGTCGGCAGGAGCTATGAGCGTCTCGGGAATGGTGAGTGTGATTTCCATTGGACCAATAGAGACACGGGCCAGCTTATTCCCACACTACACAGGCACATGTATGCCAAGGGCATAGCTGCTCATATCCAAGGGTACTTTCTCTTCAAGAATAGCACCCATAGAGGCCGTTGAGATGGCTCAGTGGATTGCCAACAAGGCTGATGCCCAGAGTTCAGTTCCTGGAGCTCACAATTTGTCATCTGACCAGATTTCTGCCATAGACATGAAAATGGTTTTCTTGAAAAGAAAAAAAGACTAGCATTGATGACAAATCCAAGTCCCAGCAAGGACAGGGTGAGGCATTGTGGGTGTCTACCACCCCTTGCTTCCCTCAGAGCCCTTTCTCCTAAACAGAGGCCAGCATTTACCTTCTGAACAGGGCTGGTGACAGACTGTGTCTGGAAGTCAAGGCCCTATGTTGGAGACTTCACAGGGGTGGGGTGAGCAGGAATCACACCAAGTATGGTCCTGAGGGCCACAGTAGTAATAAGGCTCAAACACCTGAATGCTTTCTATGTGACAGGTGTTCTCCTATACACCTAATGTGGATTATTTTATCTAATTCTCCCAGTCCAAAAAGAATTGAGTGTGGTGATCCTAAAACCTGAGGGGATGGGGGATTCACAGCTAACCTTAGCTACACAGTAAGTTTGAAAACAGTATGGAGTACATGAAACCCTGTCACACACACACACACACACACACACACACACACACACACACACACACACACACAAAATCCAAAGACACAGGCAGATTCGTAATCCCAGCATTCCAGAGGCAGACCTGAAAAGCCTGGCCAGCCTGAGGTATACAGCAAGGCCCTCCCTGTCCAAAACTAACTAGTTAATTGGCAATAATAATAATTTTAACAACACAGTAAGTCCAAGTAGAAAAGCATTGTCGTCTTCATGTCACAGATGCACAGAGAAGTGAAGCACCTCCTCTTCAGTGTACTAGATAGCCAGGACAGGGCTTTTCTGTATGGTTTGCTTTGGCTTGGATCTATTTGTTGTTGTTTGTTGACACTGGGTCACACTCTGCTTCCCTTGCTGGCCTCAGACTTGGTGTTTAACCAAGTCTGGAATTTACGATGTAGAAAAGGTTGGCCTCAAACTTGTGGCTTGCAGGGACAGATTTGAAACAGGGAAGTGATAAGATCAGATGTCTCTCAGTCTTCTGCATGGAACTGAACTAGAAAGAGGCAGGAGCTTGGACTTGGAGGCCCAGCTGGGAGATGAAGGAGCAGGGTTTACCCAGAGGAGGCAATGAGGGTAGGAAGACTGCAGAATAAAGGGTAGTTTACAGCCAAATGGTCAGGACTGAAATGGCTACATGTGAGAGGGCAGAGGAGGGACAGCCCCCAAGATGGATGGATAATGTCAAAAAAGGAGGTTCTACACATTTGGAGACTGACTAGAACAGGTTTGAGACACATCAATTCTGAAGTATCCAAAGATATAAGTTCTCCAAAATTGCTGTTAGCATAGGTAATTGGAGCTGTGACTATGGGGTCCCATTTGCCCTCACAACCTGTAGCAGAGAAAGACCCCCCCTTATACATATTCTCAGGTCAACTCTGGGGCCTCTAGAGCCCACTGCATAGACCAAAGTGGAAGATGCTGGCTTTAAGTCTAGAACTCCAGCCTAAGACCCATGGCTCCCTCCGAGATGCTCATCTCTCAGGCTACTCAGAAATGGTTAGGCAGGCACCCAAAACAATTCAATTGGCCATGGTGCCCTGTTTCCAATCCCTACAGCTGATGTCACCCCTTGCCCAAGGTCTATTCCATCGGGCCATTTCCCAGAGTGGCACTGCGATACTGAAAGCCTTCATCACCCCTGATCCATTGTCGGTGGCCAAGGTGAGCATCACTTCTCTCCCAGGGCTCAGCAAGAGGAGGGAAGATAGAGGCTTCCCTGTATACCTCTTCTCTCTACAGAAGGTTGCTCACATGGCTGGCTGCAACCACAACAACACAAGGATCATGGTAGAGTGCCTGAGGGCTCTATCAGGGGATGAGGTGATGCATGTTTCCAAGAGGATGGTAGGTAGAACATTCCAATGGTCCCTATCAGCCTGTGTACTATAGCCACCCATAGACACTTTCCCAGGGAACCTGTCTCTGGAGCACACTGGGAAATTTCTCTTCATTTCTATCTTCTTCTCTCCTTTATAGGCATTCTTTCATGCCAACCTCCAGAAAGATCCAAAAGATGTGAGTAAGCAGTGGCCTGCAATTTAAGTGTTTATTGAATACCTATTGTGTGCCAGGTCCTCAGGACACTTGAAGAACCATGCAGACCAAATTCCCCTTCTAGTGGAAAAGACGCCCCACTGGAGAGAAAGAAAAAAAAAACTATAAATAAGTAAATTATTCAGTTTCCCAGAAGGCAAATGCAACAAGGGAAGGGGTCAGGCATGGTGAAGGGTGTGAAACTTTAAATAGAATGGGTTATACATGTCTAATTGTAAAGATATTTTGTAAGAACTTTCAAAAGATAAGAAATGGACTGCGTGGATGCCTGGAGCAAGCATCCGAAGTCTGAATAGCCTGGTCTTGTCTGTCCTGACCCCTCTCAATGCTCAACTTCCTAAGCATCATTATGGGCAATCTTAGTTTTTACCAAAAGAGTTTAAGCTTGAACAGCTTCTGAGACAGACCTGATGAGCTGAGCACCCAAGTCAAAAAGGCCCTCAGAGGTTATGTGGGATGACTAGCTGGAAAATGCCCCTGGCCTTGCAGATTGTATGGTTCCTGAGCCCTGTGGTGGATGGTGTGGTGTTCCCAGAGGACCCTGTGGTGCTCCTGACCCGCGGGCAGGTTACACCTGTGCCCTACCTTCTAGGTGTCAACAACGTGGAGTTCGAGTGGACCTTGCCTTTTGTGAGTGGATGGGAAAGGTGCTCACTCAGTGGGTTTGCAAAGGGATGCCCCTTGGGCAGTGTTTGGGCACCAAGTTAGATCTCAGTGACCCCACTGATGATGCAGAAGTTCCCTGTATTCCCTGTGCAGGGAAAGCTGATCAGGAATAATGGAGGGGAATTGGGAGAAGTGTAGACAACCCCTGAACCTGCAAACAACCTTAGGGACCTCCTATACTTCCTGGGTCAGGGCAAATGCTGTAGATCAAGACAGGTCCTCCCAGCTCTGCTTCAACTCAGAACCAGGTAGCAAAGACAGACAGTAGGACAGGTTGTTGATCTTTCTTGAGCTATGCCTTGTCTGAGAATTCTACAGGCAGACAGGTCAGAGCTCAGGCCTGATTCATCCCTCGGTCTTTTTTTTTTTTTTTTTTTTTTTTTTTTTTTTTTGAGCAGCTCATGAAGTTCCGGCTAACTCAGCGTGTAATGAACAAAAAATACTTCACCAAACTGCTCTGGAGTTCCAGCACCCTGCTGGTGAGGGGTCCGTCCCATGGTTGGGTTGTTTAGTGTGAACAGGACTAAACACCACACACTCTTCTTTAAAAACGTAGGAACTGCTCCATGCAAGGGCTCCTGAGACAGGATGGGATCATTCTTGGAGAGCCCTAAAGGAGTTTGACACGGGAAGGATGAGACGGTTGTCGATGGGCAAAGTCTCTGAGGCACCCTTAGGGTCATAGGCGGCAATTCTCCCGTGGCAAAAGTGGGGGGTAAGAATCAATCAAGATGGAGACCTTCCTAGAAATCCCATTCCCAAAAGTCCTGGAGAGCTGAGGCTAGGTGCAAGCTAATGGTGTACCCACCCATGGCCTAGCTGGTGTAGCAGGCCTCAGGGTGGGTCTTGCATCCTGGTCTAGAACATCACTAAGGAGCAGGTCCCTCTGGTGGTGAAGGAGTACTTGAATGACACTGCTGATAAACTTGACTGGAAGACAATCCGAAACCACTTGATAGACCTAGTTGGAGATGCCACCTTCGTGTACTCCACACTTCAAGCTGCACGCTACCACCGGGGTATGGGTCTCCTAAGAGTAACCACACTGCTCCCCTGCACCATCCAGCTGTGCTGCTTCCCACTAGGGCCACCAGCTCATCCCTGACCTGCCTCATACTTGGGTATAGGACTCCAGGAGGCCACAGAGAAGGCAGCAAGCCAAAGGAAGAGCTGTCCCTTAGGGATAAGGGCAGAACCTCATCCACCCTTGAGTAGAAAGCTGGTGTGGCAGAGGTTAAGAATATGGGCTTAAGAGCAACTTGAAAGGTGGGCTGAATGGGCTTGGGAATATGAGAATGACAGGTCAAAGGCGAAGCTGGAAAGGACAGCCATTAAAGGCCCTTAAGTACCATGTCCAGAACAAAAAGCTCAGCACAGGGAAGAAAACAGCTTCCATGATCCTTACCATAAGCTTGCCAATTAGGTTTTAGTGTCCCCCAACTCTGCAGATGAGGAACTGCAGCTCAGAGCATTTGAGTGACATACTGATGGCTAGTGCGGGCAGGATTCTAACTTGCTCCATGACTGTGAGGCTGGAGGCCCACCTGATGCCAATGGATGGGACATGTTGGGTAGATGGAGAGCTTAGCTCAGGTGAATGCTCTTCCTGCAGCAGTCACCCGTTTCATTTATTCACAGATGCTGGCTTCCCTGTCTACCTGTATGAGTTCAAACACCATGCTCCTTCACGCATAATTGTCAAACCTCGACATGACGGGGCAGACCACGGAGACGAGCTTTCCTATATCTTCGGAAGCCCTTTCTCTAAAGGTCCTAATGCCCTCCCTGACCTAGTCTCCCCACACGTCCATTGGCAGACCACAGGGAACTCTCTAGTTCCTAGTGTAGCATGCACTCCCAAATGCAGAGTGGGAGACTGGTACCCCCAGATCTCTCCAAATACCATATCCTCTTCTGCCTCCAGGCTCATCCATTGGTGAGGAAAAGGAATTCAGCCTCCGGATGATGAAATACTGGGCCAACTTTGCCCGCACTGGGTGAGTCTAGCCCCTTACACATATAAACAATAGTAGACCCACAGGAACTAGACAGTCAAGCCTAGGCCCTTCTCCTTTTCCTTGTCAGTCATGGAATCCTAAATGCCCCCTCTGTCCTATGATGCACACTCTTCATCCATTCATCCAGTAGTATCTCATCGATATTCTCCTTTGTATCTGACCCTAGTACCAGAAGCTGGGGTTCAAAAATATCACAAGCATGTGGTATGTCCTCCTCACCCCACCATATGAAAACCAAATTCTGAACAGGCACAATAGGAGCCAACCCCTGGGAGCATCAAGGAGGGGTCTGGCTCTATTTAAGTGGCAGAGGAGGCTTCAAGTGGAAGTAACCCTTGAACTGAACTTTGGGTCCCCCATGCATATTTTCCTAGCCCCCCTTCTCTCCCCCATCATCCTGTGACACTGGAGGAGTTGCTCTGAAATATCATCTAACCAAGTTACTCACTTGCTTAAAACTCTTGCACATGTTCTCAGTGTAAAACTCCATTCCCTTAGCTTATCAAGAAAAGCCAAGAGTCTTTCCTAAGTTGTCATCATTCCCCTGCACACCCATCCTCTTACACTCACCTTTATTTCTTACCTAACCTTGTACTGCCTGGAAGCTCACTTCCTCCCACTTCCTTCCCTGGGGCTTTGCTATGCACCCTGTGCTGGCCTCAAATACACAATTCTCCTGCCACGGCCTCCTGAGTGCTGGGATTCTAAGTGTTCACCATCACACCTAGCTCTCCTACTCTTTCATGAAGAGCTGTCCAAGTATCATTGCTACGAAGCCTTCTTGGATCTCAGCTTCCCAAATGAAGGTAAATGAAGGAAGGGCAAGAGAGACAGGCTGAATAAAAAGGAGTGACAAGAATCTCTTTCCACTTGGGGTCAGGGACCCCAATGACAGAAAGCTGCCCTACTGGCCACGCTTCGACAAAGATGAAAAGTACCTGCAGTTGGATTTCGATACAAGCGTCGGTGTGAAGCTCAAAGAGAAAAGGATGGCTTTCTGGAGAAGTCTGCACCAGCCTCAGAGAACCTTGAAGCAACAACCACACTGAAAGGGACCAAGCAAGAGGGAACTATCCTACGGTCCTGCCTCAAGGAGACTGCCCCCCCCCTACATCTGAGGACAGCAGTCCTGTCCACTGAATGTAGGACCTGTAGAAGCCCCAGCTGCCTTCAGGGTATAGCTGGAGCCCTAGCCCAGCACCACCTGTCCAGCCTGACAGCCCATGACACCCTGTTTCTCACTGTCTACACTAGGCCAAGGCCTTTCATCACACTGTGCTCTGCTCCCCCAACCTCAGCCTCAGGATAATCTCTTCTCTTCCCTTTCCAAGTCCTCTTACCCCTCATGATGTATTTTCAGCCCCCTCTATAGAAAGTTCGCACAGGATGTCACTTTCTGTCTTTGCACCCTGCTATTATTGATCATCTATTCTGTTTAACCTGCCTGCTCTTGCTGGCCTTGAGACCCCAGACAATCTATTCATGACATGTTGAAAACTTCTGATGACTTGGGGTCTGTTTCCCTACCCACACTCATCTCCCCAGAACCCTGCTAAAACCTGTTCTTAGGGATAATGCTCAATAAAAATGTGTTCTTTTGACCCTCAATTTCTTTCTCTGTAAAATGATTGGGTGAAAAGGATGTTATCTCAGTTTGAACCCCTAGAGTAATAAAATATTGCTGCTTGCTGCTTCTTGGGCTGTGCTTGCTAGAGGGAATGAAACAATGACATTTAGACTGTAAAATATTTAGCTAGTGCCAGTTGTAGTAGTTTATAAAGGAGATAGCCCCCTTCGGAGTCAGCACAGGACACATCCAGACACCAAAGTCTCAGCACAAAGGAGATTATTACCCAAGAGAGACAAAGGAGGAGGGGCTGCAAAGGCAGGCATTAAGGAGCAACAGCAGTAAACAAGGGGGTGTTTTTCTTAGGAATGGGTCTTTTGCTTGTTTGTTTATTGGTTGTTTTTTGTTTTTGTTTGTTTATTGGTTGGTTGGTTGGTTTTTTCAAGACAAGATTTCTATGTGTAACCCTGGCTATCCTGGAACTAGCTGTGTAGATCAGACTGGCCTCAAGCTCACAGAGCTCCACCTGCCTCTGCATCCCAAGAGCTGGGATTAAAGGCATGCACCACCACCACCAGGCAGGAGTGGGCTTTTAAGGAGAAAAAGGGGGAGTCTGCTAGGGCAAGTTGGTAAATCCTAATTGAACATGTTAGCCAAATAATGAATTTCGATTGCTGAATCTTAGTATTATGTCTCAGGAATGAGTCAGTGGCTAAATAAGAGGATGGACCGTGGTGGGTAGCTTTGGGCATGTAATCTAACAGTTTTTTAGCACGGGGGGGGGGGGTGGAGACTAGGAACTTGTCAGTGCCATGTGTACTATGCTTGGGCCTGCTAGAGCCCTTCAGTAGTGAATACCTGCAATCTCAGACAGTGAGAAAGGAGAATCTAGGTGTTCAAGGTCATCTTCAGCTACACAGAGTTTGAGTCCAGCCTAGATGACATAAGACTTCATCTCAAAAACAACAACAAAACAGAAAGAAAAAAACTTGGTTTGCTGCTTCTCTATCTCAAATGCATCATTCCTCTCCCCCAAGGATATCAGGACATCCCAACTCATGCTCACATCCATTTAGGTCTAACCCTTCCACTCTCCTCACGCTCCTGAACACATCGCCTGTCCCACAAAATTGGTTTCCCCGCCCCCTCTGTGGGTTTCTTCTTTTTGTTGTTGTCATTTTCTTCTTGTTTGTTTGTATCCCTGACTAACCTAGGACTTGTTGTGTAGACTGGGCTGGCCTTGAACTGCCTCTGTCTCCAGAGTTTTGGAATTAAAGACATGAACCGTCAGCTTTCTTCCATTTGGGGGATCCAGGTTCCATGTTGGCCTGTCCCATACAATAGCAATTCCTCTGCCTCAGCTTCCTGATTACTAAGATTACAAGAGTGAATCACCAAATTATGACCTATTTTCTTTTTAATACACTTATTTAAGCTGGGTATGGTGGCACATTCTGCAGGCAGATCTTTACAGTGGCTGTTACACAGAGAAACTCTGCCTCAAAGAAACACACACACACACACATTCACTTATTATTTACTTTGTGTGTGTGTGTGTGTGTGTGTGTGCACGCGCACGCGCACGTGCATACTTGTGTGCGTGTGTTACTACTCTGCCCATGTGAAGGTTAGGATACAGCTTTCAAGAGTTGGCGCTCTCCTTCCACCATGTGGGTCCCTGGAATCAAACACAGGCCATCAGTCTTAGAAGCAAGTACCTTTATCCACTGAGATACCTCTTTGATCTTTCTTTTTTAAAGATTTGCTTTAATTTCTATTTATGTGTACCTATAGTACATATGCTGCATATATGTGTGGCCCATGGAAGCCAGAGGAAGATGTCAGATCTCCTGGAGCTGGAGTTAGAAGTGGTTGTGAACCCCAGATTGGGGCACTGGAAACTGAACTAGAGTCCTCTGGAAGAGCAGCAAGTGATCAAGTGCTCTGCTGAGCCAACTCTCCAGACCCTGCCCCCACCCCACCCCACCCCACCACTCTCTGTCTTCCTGAATTTGACTCTTTCAGGTACCTTATAGGGTAAACTCATACTTTTGTCCTTTCATGCCTAGTGTAATATCACGTTGTCTATAAAGTTCATCCATGTTATTGAATGTAACAATTTTGTTTTATTTTATATGTATTTTTTATCCATTAGATATTTGAGTTGTTCAAAGGAGGGGGGGAATTCCAGTTGGGGGTTGGAGACATGGCTCAGTGGTTCAGAACAGTAGCTGCTCTTCTAGAGGTCCTGAGTTCAGTTCCCAGCAACCACATGGTGGCTCACAACCATCTGTAATGAGATCTGGTGCCCTCTTCTGGCCTTCAGGCATGCATGCAGGTAGTACTGTATACATAATAAATAAATAAATCTTTAAGAAAAAAACATTTGAATTGTTTGCACCTCTTAGTTACTATGACTAATACAGCTACACATACTTGTGTAATGTCCCACTGTAAGAGAAATAGATTGACACATCCTCTAAAGGAGGTTCTTTAAGTTCAGGCAGATCTCTGTGAGTTTGAGGCCAGCCTGGTCTACAGAGTCAGTAGGACAGTCAAAGCTGCTTCAAAAAAAAACAAAGAAAGGTATTTTCATTCGACTCCCTCGAATTTTTTTAAGGAGGGCATACTTTTTAAGGTTCTGTGTTTGTTTCAACCATGTCCAACTTAGCAAGATCCTGCCAAGACCATTTAACCAGAGACCCAGCTCCCACTCAATATCTGATCATCCTCCATAACTAATGGAGTCCCTCATCCCACACATCCTCCAGGTGATATCTGAGCACCTGGGCCTGTCTTTAGCCAAACTTGTTAGACAAGTGGGCTGGAGAGATGGCTCAGCATTTAAAAGTACTGGCTGCTCTGCCAGAGGACCCAAGTTCAGTTCCCAGCACACCCATCTCTGCCTTCAGTTCCAGGGGACCAAATGCCCTCTTTTGGCCTCTGCAAGAACTAAGTAGTACACAGATAAATGCAAGCAATTCACCCACCCATACACATAAAACAAATGTTTTAAAATTTTTTGAAGAATTGTTACATACCTTTAGCCAGAACTTCTGATACTTCTTGTTAGTAATTTTTCACCCATTGATCACACTGCTCTTGACTATAAATTCCCACTTAGCTGTGCTGTACCAGGATTTGAGCCAAATTTCTCTCTTCCTCGATGCAAAATCCCATTGCAAATGTCCTATGTTATTTCAATGACCTTACATGAAGCCTGCCTGCCTTCCATGAGCTTTAATTTTGTATTTATTCTATTTTTAAAGGATTTTTTTTTTTTATGTATGTGAGTGTTTTGCCTGAATGTATGTGTGTGCCTGGTGACTTCAGAGGTCAGAAGGGGGCATCGTATTCCTGAAACTGGAATCACAGATGGTTGCAGCCACTATGTGGGTCCTGGGAGTTGAACCTGGGTTTTCTGTAAGAGCAAAATATATTCTTAACCATTGAGCCTCCAGCCTCTATTTATTCTGTTTTTCAGATAGGGTTTCATATTGCAGCCCAAATTCATCTAGAACTCATTACATAGCTGGGTCTGGGCTTGAACCCTTAGCAATCCTCCTGCCTCCAAGGGGCTGGGATTATTCACACAGGAGTCACTACACCCAATCTGACTTTCCTTCAACACCCCTCTTTAGGCATTTTCACCCAAACCTAAGGAAGGATGTTTATCCTCCACATTAGAGGAAATTCAGCTGAGAAGAAACAAGAGTCCAGACTCCAGCATGGCTGACAGAATAATAAAGGACTCCGGGAAACCCTAGGACCTTTGACCTCCCCTGGGGTTCCAGCATAGAATTCCAGTGGGCAGCTTGGAAGAGAGCCAGGTAGACTGCTGGCTCCACATCCTCCCCATTTACCCAAGAAGGTGCTGTCTTCCACCAGCTCCTTCCCAGAGCGTACAACTGGATACACACCACCCTGCCTACAACCTCTTTCCCTCTCCTGGTCTTTGCCTGATAACCCTGCAAGTATCAAGCCAGCCTACGCGTTCACTGTGCCCACCTTGGGGCCCGGAGCTTGGCTTCGGGCTTCGGGCTTACTGCTCCAGAAGCAGCGCCCCCTTCTGCAACACCTCTATACCCGAAACAGCAATTCCCAGCCAAGTAGGCTGGCAAAGGGCCCATTAGTGTGGAGGATGCCGCTCTCCGCTGCTCTTCAGCTGCAGCTGACTCCTCCTGCAGCAGGCTCCCGCTACGCTACCCCGGAGTGGGTCTGAGACCTCCCTGCACACCAACAGCGCCAGCTGCCTGGGAGCCCCCAGGGGATGCGCCGTCGGGCCTCATGCCAACTGCAGTGATGGATCTCGTCTCTGGCTCTTATCCAGAGCCCAGGCGGACTCAAGGGCGCCTAGGCCTGGAATTCACAGCGGCTGCTGGCGAGGCAAGAAGGTTGGCCCCCGCTGTGAGGACTCCTGGGCCTCCCAACGCATGTGCCTTGGAGCAGGCCATCAATTTGTCCTGCAGCAGCTAGAAAACTGGAACAGTACAACCT